AGTAAAACAATAAATAGAAAGAGTAAGATATATAGTGGAGTAATACGTCTCTTTACGGGGTCACCCCTTGACCCGTTAGCTTCCTCTTTTTCTTTTCCAATTCGAAGAGTACTAATCCCCCCCCCCCCCCAACTACGAAGAGGTGGGTCTATTTGGGGGGAGGGTCATTTTTGTATTAAAAAGGGGAAAAAAACGTGTGGTAAATGGTTACACAATCCCGAACAAAAACATGAAAAAATCTGGAAACGTTCTCTCCTTGATGAGAGCACTCTGCATCTACCCTGGTTTGCTGGGGTGGCTTTTGTACAGAACTATAGGAAATCAAAGAAACATAGTACTAATACATATATACATTTGGATCGCAAAACTCAGCTTAGTATAGTTGTTTTATTATAATTTTAAAGTACAGAATAAAGTATTATATTGTTGATAGAACAAATTGATGACTACAGACAGTATATGACACGGGGGGTAAGCAATCAAGGGGTCCTGGATAATCCCATTTTTACTTTTGACTCAGTAACTCCAATAGTTTGCCATTTGGGGAAATCTTAATGGTATATAGCATTGATTCAATCAACTAAAAGTTTTATAATGCGATGTCTTTTTGCATCTTGGCCGACGATCTTAAAGCAGTATACATGATACAGCTTTGCACGGGCGGTATACATAGAGGAAGTAGATTGCCCAAGTACTACTCCCCTCCCTTCTGATCTTAGCTTCCTTGATATGCTCCAAAGGAGAGACAAACAAATTGCGAAATGCTATAAGTTTAATGCCTCTATCAACATTGTTAGGTTATTTAAGAGGCGAGACCTCCGAGTTTAACGTCCATCTCCGAAAGGACCGAGCTAAAAGAGAATTTCGTGTAAAAATGTCTTTCCCAAGGACACAACATCGGACCGAGCTGAGGCTCAAATCCCCGAACCCCCAAACTCACGATTACGAGTCCGGTAGCCTAACCACTAGGCCACCGACGCCACAGAGAGACATCGTCAGTACATTTGAAACCAAAGAAGGTATAAGTGGGTGTCTATCTTTAAAAAAAATTTATCTGTATGGATACAACAGAAACACAAAGACACACTCACACAAAACAATTTAATTGATCTAAACAAGTTAATTAAAGGGGGGGGGGGGATAGGGTCTTAAATCATCTTAAGGTTGCTTCAAAGAAAAAACTCCCAAAACAGCTGGACTCAAGCAAGATATACAACCGAGTTAGGAAATTTGCAATGGCCATAACTTTGTTTTAAAGCCGTCTAGTCATTTTATAAAGATGCTATGTCGAGTCTCTTTATGCTGATATAATCATATATTCAATTAATGCTGATTTTATTTTGTTGATATCACACAGAAAATTAATGTTGACTTCATACGCACACACTAATTTTAATGTTGACACCTTTTCATCGATTTCATACACAAAATCCTCTATCTTAGAATTACAAAGTTTCACATGACATCTTTGACAGTTTTTGACCTTGGGTTCAGAAGCCAAATTAATGTTATATCTGCTCTTACAAAATCGTAAATGTATTCGGAGTCATTTTCAAGATATTCAAAGAATTGCATTCGAAAAAGCTTGACCTGTGGTGAAACTTGAAATCTTAAACGTCAAATTCTTCAAAACTAGGTATTGAGCAGATAGAACTTTGGAATTCTAAGGTAGCGTAATACTAACTTCAATTCATCGATGCTTTTCACACAATGTCAAAGACTGATCACATTGCATCAGTATATCAATCATTCACACTAATTAAATTTTGACCTCTTGTCATCGAAACTATACACACAATACATGTTGACCGTTTTCCATTAACATCGTACAGACAAATACCGACCTCATTTCATCAGTAATATGCACAAAAATCATTGACAAGCTGTTATATATGTACTGAGCCCAACATTTTGAAGGAAAGAAAGTTCACATGATAATTTCTGGTGTCTGTTGAATATATAGTAATACATACTTGTGAAATAATGTTATTCAGATTCTAAATAATGTTATTCAGATTCTAAATTTTGGAAAAAAAAGCAAGATAAACGTAGGAACAATATGTAAAAGAATTGGGATAGTCTCCCCCCC